CCCGTCTCGTCACACCTGCTCCCTGATGGCTCTCCCTCACCTGTTTCCCATCTCCCCTCATTACCTCGTGTATATCACCCTGTGTGTCTCACTGTCTCGTCACCAGTTCGTTGCACTTCACTGTCCTCGTACCAGCGTTACTCAAGTCAAGTCACAGTCTGTTTGATCACGACCTTGTTTCTGTTTTTGGACCTTGCCTTCTGCCTGCCAATTCCTGGATACCTTTGCCTGAGTGACTGATTTCCCGTGTGCCGAACCCTGTCTGACATTAAACCTGCCTTTTGCCTGAACCCACCTCTGTCGAGCATTTGTGTCCACCTGTTCTGAGAGTGAGTTCATGACAGATGGTCAAACTACCACCTTCACTGAGTTGACGCTATATTCTACTGCTTTTCTTCTTTGTTGTCTCGCCGTCCACCAGGACTCGACGACAAAAGCCAAATGCTGCCTACAAGTATTGTGACATTGGACACGTTTTCGTACCCGGGTCTCGGTGACGGTGGACAGGATGCCTCTGCGGATCATGTTGGCGTAGGCGTGGAGCTTCAGGTGATCCAGCAGCAGGCAGGAGGCCAGCAGCATGGCTGTGGGGTTCGCTATGTTGCTGTTAGCGATGCTCTTCCCAGTGTTCCTGGTGCCCTGCAGAGTAGATCACGTTGAGAAAATAAATTAGAACAGAATTCCTTTACTGGCAGTGCACAACGAAATTAAGCAGCAATCCCGTCAGTACGTTCACACAGGCAGACGTTTTTTTAAAAGTACAATAAGAAATGTGGAAATACAAAATGTTAAAGACAGTAGAAAAATGTAGTCATTCCACAAACAACCTATGAAAAGAGTGACATAGCTTATTTGGTGTGTTAAAGCCATAGAAACAATCCTGTAACTGATGTTGCACTGCTGCATGTTGCACATTTCTGAACGTGTTACGGCTTAAAGTAGCACAAAAATTACATACAAGGTGCAGTGCAAGTTTACGTACACTTGTATAGAACATGTACATCAATGCAGTTCTGAGTTTCCAATGACTCCTATAACTCTTTATTATAGCACTAATTCTGTCAAGAGGACTAATCAAAGATACAACCAGAGGCTTGTGGACGGAAACCAAAAGCTCTTAGTTGAGGTTAAAATAGCCAAAGAACATTTAGGTTCAAGGTCTTTATTTATCACAAACACAGTCATACATGGTATAACGCGCAGTGAAATGTTTTAACCAAATAGTAGCATTGCTGTATGAGTATTTTTGACCACATATTCCCAGAAGACCTTTAATAAATCTATGAAAGAACCAAAATGCAAAGACGCATGTGTTTCAGAGATTACATCGTAGAAAATTCAGAGTTATAGGAGTCTTTGGAAACTCAAGACTGACACGATAAACATGGTCTTTACAAGTGGATGTAAACTTTTGTTCACTGTATGTCCAAGTTCAGCATATAAATACACAAGTGATGTTTCTAGATTCTGTAAATGCAAAGGTGAGTAAAGTCAGTGTTTGGCAGAGTTCAAGTCTCCTAATTAGATGGAAGAACATATCAACGTGCAGTAGTTTTAACATTTGATTGATTAAACCTGCAGTGACCACAACAGTTACACAAACACTGTTAATGCGTGCTTACACTGGAAATCATTTTAAGCCCATTCAGCTAAGAAATGTAAGTTCCTCTGCTGCTTTGAAATGCCAGCCGCCTGCCCTTCCCCCGATGAATTAGTTCAAAGTCATCCTATAAGTTGTGGAAGTGTAAAACTAGCTGAGTTAGATTAACTGAAGTTCAATAAACCTGAGATGTTAAGTTTAATTAAAAACTTACAGTAACAGTCAGGTTTTGCTGGATTTCTTTCTGAAAACAGCTGCCGGCTATGACTGAAAATTGAGCCTTCAGAGCGGTGGGAGTTAACCAAAGCTGGGAAGTTGACATTTTTACCACATTAAAACACCTGGAGCAAATGTAGAGATTAATAAACAAGACCCCAAACCAACCAGACTGCAGGACCAGAGCCTCTGTGTGAAGTAACTGTTGATATTTTTGTATGAGAGCTCAGTTAAAAGACTGCAGGAGGAGCTGTGTGATGACTTCTACTCATCTGTCCAGGAGTGTTTTGTCTCATAATGCATCAATACCTGAATCAGGGTAGGTGCCAGAACACCAACCAGTCAGTGAATAACTAACTTGGCATTTCAGAGAGTTGTAGTGGAGATAAAGAAAGAGAACTGAGGAATCAAAAGTGGAATCAGGACGTTTTTTAAAAACATTTTTGCTCCCTGTGATCTAAGCCCTCGCTACTCTGCTTTTGAAACACCACATAATTAATGTATTTATTAATCTAGATTTGACATGTGTCCATTATTAATTGATTAATGGTACACTCATTGACTGGCAGGAAAAATATTCAGGACCTTTGCACAGTTAAGGAGACTTTTTTTTAGAGGTTTTTTCCATAAATTAACTTAGAGCTTTTTAAAACCTACAGACTCCCCATCTCACCGTCTCAAACACAGCGTAGTCCTCTCCATAGTTGGCTCCAGGCACCAGGCCCGGTCCGCCAACCAACCCGGCGCACACGTTGCTCACAACGTTGCCGTACAGGTTGGGCATGACCATCACGTCGAACTGCTGCGGTCTGGAAACCAGCTGACACACAAAAACATGGCTTCAGAACATGTTTACAGCTGACAGAAGCAATGCCAGTATGTGCTGCTCTGGTCAAAATGTAGAATAAATTTAGAGGATATGTGTTTATAGATGGTTCATGTAAGCAAAGTCTGTTGTGTCGTCAAGGAACTCAGATGTGAGCAGCTGCAAGTAGAAGTTCAGTGTTCTGGTTTGATCTACTTGATGATACAAACACCACACAGTTATGTGAGCAGTCTGGCGGTTTGGACCCACCTGCATGGTGGTGTTGTCCACAATCATGCTGTCGAAGGTGATTTCAGGGTAACCGCTCGCCACCTCCTTACAGCACTCCAGGAAAAGGCCGTCACCCAACTTCCTGCTCCGAGAACAAAAACAAAAATTAAGATGCGTCGTACTTTAACAGGGAAATAAGGAGAGCTTGAACCCGACCCACATGATGTTAGCTTTGTGAACGGCGGTGACTCGTGTGCGTCCTCGCTCTCGAGCCGTTTTGAACGCGTAGTCAGCGATGCGTAAAGATTTGGTCCTGGTGATGATCTTCAGGCATTCGACAACACCGGGTACATTCTGCAGGTATGGAGATGAAACAGAGGCTGGGTTTGTTAGAAGTGTAGTGATACCCATTTAAAAAAGTACACAGTGAATTGGCAGTTTTCCCCTTTTATTGTGTTTCAACAGAGGTCAATATAATTCAGCTTTGTTGACAAAAATTTACAAAAACAACTCTTTCATGTCAGAGTGGAAACAGATTTCTATGAAGTAATGTCAATTAATTAAAAATGTAAAACAAAATAGGTGGTTGCATTAGCATGTACCTCCTACAAGTTAGTGTTTACTAGCTGCACCTTTGGCCTTGCACATCTGGATGGTGCAGTTTTACCCCATTATTATCCTTTGACAAACTGCTCGAACTCTGTCAGGTTACATGGCAATCATAGGTGAACAGCTCTTTTCAAGCCCAGCCACCAATTCTCAGTTGGATTGAGGTCTCTGACTCACCTACTGACCTTGTCTTCAAATCATTTCTATGTAACTTCGGCTTTTTGTTTCAGGTCATTGTCTTGCTGGAAAACAAATCTTCCAACATCAAGTTCTTTTGCAGACTGCATCAGGTCGTCCTCCAGGATTTCCCAACACTTTGCTGCATTCATTTTACCCTCAGCCTTTACAAGCCTTCCAGGGCCTGCTGTCAAGAAGCATCCCCACATCATGACGCTGCCACCACCGTGCTTCACGTCATGATGCCGCCACCGCCGTGCTTCACGTCATGATGCCGCCACCACCGTGCTTCACATCATGATTCCACCACCGTGCTTCACATCATGATTCCACCACCGTGCTTCACATCATGATGCTGCCACCGCCGTGCTTCACGTCATGATGCTGCCACCACCGTGCTTCACATCATGATGCTGCCACCACCGTGCTTCACATCATGATGCTGCCACCACCATGCTTCACATCATGATGCTACCACCACCACGCTTCACATCATGATGCTGCCACCACCATGCTTCACAGTGGGGATGGTGTGTTTGTGATGATACGCAGTATTTGTCGTCCGCCAAACATGGAGTCTCGTCTAATGACCAAAAAGCTAAATTTTGATCTTATCACATCAAAGAACCTTCCTCTCGTTGACTTCAGAGTCTCCCGCATGCCTTCTGGGGAGCCCTAGTCCAGATTTAACATGAGCTTTTTTCAACCATGTCTTCCTCTTTTTGTTACTCTCCCATAAAGCTTTGACCGCTTAGAACAGGACCGTCTCTCCCATCTCAGCTGCTGGAGCTTCCTTCAGAGGAACTATTGGTGTCTTGGTGGCCTCCCACCTTCATTGCTTTCTTGCTCAGTTACTCAGTTTTGGAGGAAGACCTGCTCTATGCTGTTTTACACTTGTGCCATATTCCTTCCTTTTTTTTAAAGCGATGGGTTTAACTGGATATTTGGTGATGTGGAAGCTATTTGGTATCCACCCCTGACTTTTGCTTTTGAAAGAGTTTTCACAGAGTTGCTCGACATGTTCTTCTGTTTTCATGGTGTAGTTCTATCCAGGAGAACTGATCCACCAGTTTTTTCTTATTTGACGCTACTCTGATAGTTACATTTTGACCATAATTCAACGTTGGAAAGCAATAAAAAGGGAAAACCTTTCAAAGTGGGTGAACACTTTTTATAGACACTGTATAAACCACATTAACTTCCACACCTCGTGCTCCAGGCTGCTGTACTCTCCCTCGGTGTTTTCCCTGATGATCATGATGTCGATGTTTCTGTGGCGCGTCCTCACTCCAGGCAGAGACTGGCAGTGCATCACGTTGGCGTACAGATCCAACGTGGTGCTGCAGAGAAGAACAAAGACAGTAACAGGAAGCTGTGAAGGGCAGAGACCAAAGCAAGAGACCGAGCACTTTAACTCCACTTCTGTTTGATCGGTGCTGAAGCACTTTCATGACTTAGATAAGGAAGATGAGGAGCAGTGAACTCACCGCAGCAGGTTGTTCCTGGACTTATAGGA